TGGCTTCCCTGAGGCCAAGGCAGCTCCAGGTCCTCGGACTCCCCGCAGCTGCCTCACCTGCCCTCCCTCCTGCCACTGCTGTCGTCTGATCTGCCTGATTGCCCGCGTGCTCAGCAACCCCAGCCCTGTGACCTGTGCCTCACCCGAAATAATTGCACCTAAAACCAGAAGCGATGTTCCAGGAGGAAGGTCACAGAATGATGGCCTTAGGAAAATGATCAGGTCTTCCAGAAGCCCCTGGGACGCCAAATGGACCAGATCAAGACAGGGGAGGTCGCGGGCAGGTGGCCCCCTGGTGGCCCGCCTGAAGGTCTCGTGAGCCCTGACGAACTCTCGTGAAAGAACGACGTTGACTGCTATCAACGCTCCGCGCCGCCCCGTTCCCCTGTGTGGTCGCCAAGCCCCAAGCCCAGCACGGATTCGGCCTCTAAGGCGCTGGCCTGCCGTGGCTCCCCTCTGCCTGGCAAAGCCGTAAGTAAAGCTGCTCTTTCTTTGCCCCCAAACTTTGCCTCCGAGTTTGAATTTGCTTTTCAGGCTGCAGAGGCCGAGTTTTTGGTAACAGTAGAAACTCAAAACGACAGACTGCCTTGCTCAGCATCACAGCGCAAGGCATGTGCGTCACCTTTCTAGTAACTACTCAACGTAACTTCCAGAAGGCAGAGATGTTTAGACTTACCGTCTAACCGAAGACAACAAAAAATGAAAAGCTACTCAAATCTGCGTATCTGAGAGTCTGCCTTCTCTCCTTGTGTACAAAGTAGACCTTGTGCTCTATCTATCCAGGAAGGAGGCTCCCTTCCTCTCCATGATGGTCCCATTTTGGGGGCCGACACTGGATTAACGGTCCTGCCTCTCTACATCCTCCCAGACCTTTCCAGGAGAAAGAAAGACACAGGCTTGTGGCGTCTGAGTTCACAGAGCTTCGCGTGCTTGCTCTGGCTCCTGCTTCACTTTTCTGCATGGAAGCCCATCTGGCTGCAGAAACCAGACAGCTCACTCTGTCCTCCCCGCCCTACGCTTGTCCTTTTGTTGTCAGCGATGCCTGTGCCTTGAAGGCTCCACGTGCCTCGTTCTGCAGTTTGATATTAGGAATGACACTAGGCCCAGGTCTAAACCACGCCCACCAGCAGAATCTTATCAATAATAAAGGTCATGTTTTAAATCCAAACCATTTCTGGGACAAGCTCTCAACTGGTTCTGAAGTTGCTTGGGGAGCAAGGTTGTGATAGATAGTCTGATATAACTGAAAGCATCGCATAATAATGTAATTACAAGAAGCTTTAAATTTAAATTTTTAAAATTTTTCTCAGCCGATGAGATATCTCAGCATATTCTCTCAAACTTCATTATCTTGTTTGTTGTCAAAGGCATGAAGCAAAAAATTCCCTTTCCTGGGACATAAGTCAAATGTAGGGGGAAAGCTGCAATTCAGAGTAGATCTACTTTAATTCAAAAATATCCTCAGCCACCTCGTAGGTGCATCTTAATTTACGTGTGTGCGCACGGGCAGGTATCTGCGTTCTTTTATAACAGCAAAAAATGAACCTCGCATCCATGATGCATTTACCTGAATCCCCTGCAAAGCTGACCTAACTTTCTTTCCAAACATGACTCCCACGGGTCCTAATCTCAAGCATCTCCTCTTTTCATCCATGTAATGTCCTCTGACACATGCTAATTCCAGCGTGTGTGGAAGCATACTTGGAAGACCTGTTGATAAATTTATTCACATCCAGGGAATGCCACTGACTCAAATATTCTTCAATATTATCTTGCTAACGATATATTCATTGCATTAAGTCTATCAGAGTTTCTTCTCAGTGCAGCTCATCTTTCCACAGTTTTCTTTTCCCCCCATTTTATATGCATTTTGTACTCTCATTATATGTTTTCTGTTTCCTACCTTGACCTGGAGGTCAGAGTAAGATGTTCTACAGCATCCACTTGGATGGCATCTTAATGAGTGACTGAACACAAGGAAAATACACCACCACTACACAGCGGGGTGGAACTGAAGTGTAGTGATATGAACCCAGGACAGACAGGTGCCCACTGACCGGACATCCATCCTGCGTAAGCTGCCATGGTAACACGCTCATCAACACTGCCTGAGATAAACATGAAGATGTTCCAAGGACCCATTAAGTCCAGGTGCCATGAATATAGACATAATTAGGGAGTAACTGAAGAGAGTATTTAAAATACACCCACGTCTTCAAAATAGCATAAAACCCAACCGAAGTGTTGGGCAATGAACATGGAAGAAGAGGAAGAAAATCTGACATCACCCAAGCAGGGATGGTGGGGAAAACCGAACTGTAATTTACAAGATAAGGAGATGCTAAAAATACCTGGGGGAAAAAAACCATAAGAAGTTTACAACACAAGTTAAAAGATTGAAATTTATTATTAGGAGATAAATAAAAATACTATTATCTTGCACACAGTGAAATTATCACACCCAGGCCACTGACTCTCCTTTAGTCTATGGTTCCTACTTATTGTGAATTAACTACTGACTTAACGGAAGGATAAAGCCAAAGACAGCCGTTCATTTTTATGCTCGTGAAGAAGTAAGGACCAGGACAAACAAAAGTGCTCTCTGGATTGAAATGTTCTGAATATTGTTCACAGCAGACTAGAAAGTACACTAAGCGGGTCAAAACACCTCGAACCATCGACTGGTTTTTCAGGCTGAATAGACACAGAACACAGGCACATGCAGAGTGACCCACCATGCAGAAGAGCGAATCGGAGCCACGATGCTGTGTTTCGGAATGAAGAGCAAGCTGGAGCAAGACTGCACGCGAGCATTCCTCGCTATTTCCCACTGCAACTTCAAAAGCACAGAAAAGCCAGCTCCTCTCTCCTGTCTCTCCGAGCCGACGGCCAATGCAAAGTTTCTGACAACTGTTGTGTTTGAATGTAAAAGTCATAGGCATTTTGTGTTCTCTTCCATGGATTTTCAGTATCAGCAAGCTATGGTCAACTCCCTGCAGCCTGGCTTGGCTGATAACACTGGAACATGTGTTAAGTGGCTTTTACAGTTTCAAGGACAGAGTTGCATACTCTTGTAATTGTCTGTGCCTGAATTTTGAAAAGCACAACCAGGGTCAAAAGCATGAGACTTTAAATCGTGGGATCCCTGTACAGGTAGCACTTTGACAAAATCAGAGGCAGAATCGCATCCCCCTCCAGGCGTTGCTGAGAGCCAGACCCTGGACTAACCAGGGAAGCTATCATTTCGGGGAGCCTCAGACGTCTCATTTTGCTGTTATCTTCCTCCGATCCTCTGTTAAGTTTTTTTTTTCTTTTTTTTGGTATCATGTTACTAGTCATCTATCCCATAACACATCCAGCCTCAATAAAGAAATAAGAATACGGTCACACCCCATATTTTAGCCACATTTTTCTTCCCTAACATTTAGAAAAATACCCACTGCTGCTATAAACCAGTAGCTCTAATAAAACTGTCAAAATACTCTCCCATCCTTTTTTCCATTTTCTATTCCCTTTACTGCCCAAGAATCTCTCTTCTCAAAAGGTGGCAGTTACACTAAAAATACAACCCAGGAGGAAAGGGACTGGCAGCCTCCTTCTGGCTTCAGTGCTTTTCTCCACCATTTCCACCTGCAGGACTTTCCACTCGACTACACGCCGAAAGATTGGAAGCATGGGGGTGGCGGAGGAGGTAGATGGAAATTATTCTGTGAGCCTATTTATTATGCTAACAATGCAATCTAATGCATCTTTGATGGTGTGCAATTAGGTATTAAAATTTCTCATCACTAGAAACGTTCTCGGTCAGTGGGAATGACTGCAGACAATTTCTGGTAACGTGGGATCATCTTGCCAGACAGAAGACCTGGCTCAATATATAAAGCCTGCAGTTTCGAGAAAAATGTGATTTTTTTCTTCACATTGCCTAACTATATTGGGAAATGCAAATGAACGTAAAACATAAGGCAAAAACCAGTAATTCTTTATACTGTAAAATAATTTTATAAAGACACAATATGGCAACTAAAAAGAGTCCCCCGAGGCATAATTTACTGATTTTTTCCCCTAAATGGTTAATTATTTGTGCACAAAGTTGAGTTTTATTTAATGGACATTACTGGTTTAAGATTCCTAGTCCAGTTTTCATTTATGCCCTTAAATAAGGCTGATTTTCTCACCCTCACACCAAGGTTTCCAGAGGAAGATCAAAGTGCAGACGTAAACATATTAGTTAGACAGATTTATCAAATATGCATGACAATTGCACAACTCTGAATTCTGACCACATGCCATGATCTTGGCACACTTTTGGAACTGCGTACGCTGAGGAGAAAACCAGTAACAGACTAGGAAAAGCACGTTAAGCGATGTTAGGGTTACACAGGCGTGGACAGAGAGAAGAGGGCTTTTGTCCAACTGTGTGCAGTACTCTTCCTGTTAACACTTAAACCACAACATTCAGCTATGATTCAGTAAAGACTGAACTCACGGTCAGCAGACGAGCCACCGATTCCTAAGTGACAGGAAACTGAGCAACCAACCACGACTTTTAGATCATGGATGCGTTCATGTTAGGCGCTTCCAACAGAGACTGTGACAACGGCGGCACTGATGGCCGGTGTGAGGATGCAGGGGGTAGAAGACATGCACGTGGAGACAGTTCCAACTCATCGCCAGAGCGAAATGTGCACCTCGGAATGCAGACGGTCAAAGGGAGAGGTGTCCCCTGCAGACACTTCCCTTGAAATGAAGACCATGCAGCCCCCACAACAAGGAAAATGGCTGGTAAGTTTTAGAGCATCGATAGTTACTCTTTTGGAATTTTAAGGGCTCTTCCAGGTTAAATAGAAAATACTTGAGATTATGGAACATACATGGTTTCTATAAAATTACGAGAGCGAAGTGTGCAGTCGATGGAGTCAATCTCACCGCAAAACACATTCAACGTAATGAATCAAAACAGAGAGAAACCACTGGGCGCGCGGCGCGCTGCCACTCACTTGGCGTGGCGGATGTCCGGGAGGGACCTCTCCAGAGCAATATTGTTGCTGACAAATATGTTGAACCCATTTTCCCTGTAAGCTGAGTCATCGTGGTCCTCTTCGGTGAGCGGGTAGGGTTTCCCATGCTCGCCCTTCCCTGCCGGGAGGAAAGGAAAGCGCGATTATTACCTGTGTGGAAACCCTTTTATCTCCCAGAACAGGTAACACTTGCATGTGTTTCTTAAGTCACCTGCTACTGTGCTCCAACAAAGCTCTAGAAGTAAGATTTTATTTTATCATATTATTCAGAAAAACGAAACATGCTCATGATAGAAAGCAAACAGAATTACAAAGGATAATCTTACCTTCCAGGGAAAACCACTGCTTAGACTTCAAGTGTGTGTTTGCCAACGTTTGTATGCAGATTCTAATATACATATTGCTTTATCATTTATTTTTCTCCAACATAATTATATAAAAAAGCTATCACTTCAATGACTTCTGATGGTTCATACTATTTCACTGTATCCCAGTGTACACCATTCTGCTGAAGATCTATATAAAGTGATTTCCAATTTTCCATACTATGAACAATGTTGAATAAACATGTTTGCCTATATAGTCCTAGTTATGTATCTTTGGAAGGGGGAGGGTAATTTCTACAAACAATTGTCTGAATATCTTTAGAGTGAGTGGTTTTCACACATCCTCAGAAGCATTAGACAATATTTTAAATTTATTGAAATTTATTATTGAAAATATATATTATTCACACTTTAAACTTGCCTTCTCTTGATTACTCATGAAATTAATTTTACATACACTTATCATTTGCAGTCCTTACATTGCAAAATGATTGTTCAGAGATGTTTAAAAACAACAGGCATTTGTTTCAAGAACAGTTTATACGTTATGCTTATTGAAGCTTTCTTAACTACGTATGTTGTCAGCATTTTCTAGGTGTATTTCATCTAAATCTAATTTGAGGCTTCTGTTTTCTGCATCTGCCTGATCCTAACAACAAACAAAAAACTGAGCGGCCTGAACAGTCAACAAGTCTTGCAGGTGAGAGAGGAGAGGACACAGGACAGGCTGCTGCCCCCGAGACCGGACGGGCAGAGGGCAGAGCCGGGGGCGCAGACTCACCAGCGGAGACCACGGGGGTGGGGACACGCCCGCTGGAGCCAACGACCTGCTGGGGCCCCGAGCAGCCAGCGCGAGAGGCGAGGCTCCGGGAGGCCCCGTCCTAGGGAGGCTCCGAGAACCCCGGGAGGTTCCTCCCCAGGGGCCCGGCCAGGTTCCCAGGGCGAATGTTGGAGAAGAGTCCTCTTGCCCTCCGTGCAGGAGGAGGGGAGGGGAAGCACCTGCAAACACACGGAGGACTCCGGTCCGGCCCAGTCACCCAGCGCCCTGCTCAGGGGTGGCCTGTCGGGCCAACTGGCCCCCGGGAAGGGCAGTTCCCCCCAGCCTCCTCCAACCGCGATGCCCAGAGAAGGGACAGGTCAACCAACCAAAAAAACAAGCAAACCAACAAAAGCCCTGAGAGAGCCTGCAGCGCCCCCAGCCGGCGGGGCCTGCCTGTGACAGTGCAGGGGCCCCGCTCCCCACGCCTCTTCGCCGCGTGGTTCCCTCGCCCAGCGCGCGTCCCGAGATTGATCGAGAGCGGCGCTTCCAGGGGCGCAAAGGCAAAAGCGCAGCGTGGCGGGCGGGGCGGGGGGCCAGGTCACAGTCGGGGGTTCCCTTCCTGAGCCAGTCAGGCCCCGCGGGCCGCCCCAGGGCGCGGCAGGCCCCGCTGACTAGTCCCCCTGAGGGCGGGCCTTGTTGAGAGGACCAGAGTCCTCTGACGCATCACAACCAGACAAAAATGAGACGCTGCAATGATTAGAATGGGAATTTAAAACAACTACGATCAATGTGCTAAGGGTCGGAACAGATAAAGTAGACAGAAAGCAAGAGCAGATGGGCCAGGTAAGCAGAGAGGTGGAAATTCTACAAAAGAACAAAAAATAGATGCTGGTGATTAAAAACAAAAAAACAAACAACATCCTAACCGAGATGAAGAAAGCCTTTGATAAGCTTATTAGTAGACTGGATGCAGCTGAAGGAAGATGCTCTCTGCTACAGGACGTATCAGCAGACTCCAAATCAAGCCAACAGATCTAAAAATTCAAAAAGCAAACAGAACAAAGAAGGGAGAAAGTGGAACAGGATGCCCATGGGCAGAGGCGCTGCCACACACATGATGGGGTCAACAGAGGAAGAGAGAGAGAGAGGAAGGAACAGAAGAAATGTCTGAAACAACAGTGACTGGAGAATTCCACGGATGAGTGTCAGGTACCAAATCACAGGTCCAGGAAGCTCAGCGGACACCATGCAGGACAGATTGCCAAGAAACTACACCAAAGCGTATCATTCTCAAATTACAGAAAATTAAAGATAAAGAAAAACCATCTTGAAAGAATCCAGAGGAAAACACTCCTTACCGAGAAAGGAACAAAGACTAGAATCACATACAACTTCTCTTCAGAAGCTTTGTAAGCAAGACAGTGGAGTAAAACAGCTGAAGAATTGGGGGGAAAAACTCACCCACCTAGGACTCCAAACCCTGTGAAAACATCCTTCAGTGGTGAAGGAGAAATAAAGGTCATCTCAGAGCGAATTTGTTGCTATTAGACCTGCCTTTTGAGAAATGTTGTAACACAAGTTCTTTAAGGAGAAGGAAAATGATATAGGTCAGAAACTTGGATGTACCTAAAGGAAGAGCATTGAAGAGGGAATCAGGGAAGGTAAAATAAAAACTAAAATCATTTAATTTTCCTTACTTTTAATTAATACAACAGTTTGTTCAAAGTATAATACCAACAGTGTATTAGATTATGTATGCTTACGTACGTATTATTTGCATACATATTGTATATATATATATAAATATATATACACACACTTCTGCATGCTTATATAAAAGTGACTTCGATGACAGCAATGGTGCAAGAGACAGGAGGAAAGAATCAGGAATGAGGATCATTTTGTTATTCTAAGGCACTCACACACCTAAGTGCTATGGTGTTATCTGAAGGTGGACTTCCGTTAGCTGTAACTATACTGCAAACACAGGGCAACCCCTAAAGCAAGTAACAAGGAACCATAACTGATAGTGCTAAGCAGTAGAGAAAAATGAAATCGTATAAAATGCTCGGTTAAAAGCACAAAAGACAGAAAAAAAGTGGGAGGCAGAAATGGAATAATGAACATGAACGACAAATAGAAAACAGTAATCAGTCGATATTAATCAAGACTATATCCATAACCACTTTGAACGTCAACAGTCTAAAGGCACAAATTAAAAGAGACTGTCAGAGTGGGCCAAAGTGAGTCTAACCTAAGACCTTGTGTATTCATAAGTTGTCGTACCATGAAAGCATCCTTCCACTGCCTTTTAGTTAAAAGTTGTTTTTCATAAACAGAATATTAAAGTTTAATAATTTCTTCTTCAAAATTTTTTGAAGATTTTTACCCTTGCCCCCTTACTAACTCCCGCTGTTGCAGTGTGTGACTTGTTTTTAGTCACTAGAATTCGTCTCTGTGTGTGGGTGAGGAAATTCAGCTTCTGCATCTGTAATCCCTCAAAGAAAAGTGAGAGCAACTTTTTTTTTTTAAGCGTCTAGTTCCTGCCATGATAGCAGTAACCTCAGAGAGCCAGCAGTTAAGATCAAACGGCTGGGGTTTGATAAGGAATTAGATGCCCGAGAAGCAGACTGAAAATCTCTCCAATTTTAAGGGAGAGAAACAAAAAATTTAAGCATTTCACTTTTGGCATGAAAAAAGGAGAAGACAGAATCTCTCTGGTTTTTCTGTTTTGATTTCTCAGGAGAAAATGTCACTTGCTTTTTCAACCTAAATGGAAAATAAAGAAGCCAATGAGAAGTTTCATTTGTGTAACAGGTGATCGTTGAGTATGCACTACGTACAAAGTGCTATGTAATAATTTTACACACATTTTGACTCTACACCATGAAGTCAACTTCGTTCTACCCATGCTACAGGTAAGTAAGCGAAAGAGACTGGTGTTTTCAATAAGCATTTCCACGATCAGCAATTAGCCATCGAACCTCGGGAAACTTCTAAAAGGTCTAAATCCCTCTCCCATGAGTGGTCAGAAAAGGTCTTTTGTCCTTAAACACTCTTGGAAGCGAACTGGATTGACAGGCCACTCGATCAGTTCTGCTTAATAAGAAAATCACAGCGCATTTTTTTAAAAATGAAGTCAACAGGTGGAACTCTGAAATAAATTCTGCAAAACCAACTTCCTTTCCTTTTACATTTTGATGATTTCTTATATGAAGATTAAGATATGTTCTAGCTCTTTTGTGAGATGATTTAAATCATGTTTCCTCTTCTGATTTTTCTTCACCATCACATTCACTAAGTTACGTGATTTTCACAAAATCTGGCATTGCAGAGTTCTTTTTCTCACAAAGCATATTTAATTAACATTTTGTGTATATTCAAAAATAGTAGTAGTCTTTACTTTCTTTAATACATTTTTCTTTTTTAAATTTAAATGCCTGACTGAAATGTATACACACGCTGGAGGCTTCTTTTCAGTCATTTTTGTGGACATTTTTAATCAGGAACTTTTATGTTCAGCCGCTTTGAAGACCACAAATACAAAATTTTACAGTTCTCCATTCCTTCAAACAGCTGTCAAAGGGAAATTCGTTTCCTTTGTACAGATTTAATCTTCAGATTGAAAAATGCCTGCAACCAAGGCTTTTCCAAAGAGTGAAAGACTCTAGAGTTAAAAAAACAAAACTCGTGAGTCACCAAGGAGGGCGTGCCAGGAATGTCTTCATTGCAGGTGCGAGAATAAGTTTTAAAATTTACGTTCTTACACACAGAGCCAGCGGGTTTTACTGCACATGCTGTCAACTCATCTTACATGTTAATACGTGGAGCCTCGGGGTGTATGACGTCACATGGGGTCTGACGTTTCTTTGGAAAAACAATGCAACAAAGCAAAGAGCTCCAGACAAACAAAAAGTGTATGTTGGAAAAATGACATTATTGGAAGGTCTGCAATTATTAGTCTACAGATTTACTTATTTATCATTTTAAAAATTCTAGGGTATCTTACAGTTCTCATCGTAAATTCAAACC